ATATTTATGACTAAAATAAAGATTTTTTTACAAAAAATGACTAATGACTAAAGTAGTAAGGGAATCATAGTAACTAATGTTCAATTTGTAAACTTAACTTACGATAACACTACATTCTAATAACTACTACGTATTAGTTATATTCATGTAAATAAGTCTTAGTTTACTAATATTTTTGAAAAAAACTCTTTTTTTTTCTTTATTCTTTTTCTTCTGTCCACATTTAATTTGTCGTATATGTATGTTATTTTATTTTATTTTTACTTCATTTATACTTGATAAATTCAATACTTCACAAATAAATTTTCTTTTTAATGATTACAAGTCTTTTTCCATGTCTTCATCTTATTTCGACAGAAATACTACATGTATTAGAAAACTAATTCAACATTTCTTCATGCTTCAACTTAATATATATATATATATATATATATATATATATATATATATATATATATATATATATATATATAGGGGATGGTTCAAATACAAAGAGATCTTCCCATGCAAAGTGAGAATTAATCTAGTGCGTTCATTTTGAGATCTGATGGATCAAAATGAGCTAAAAGTGAACTAAATTTGATCAAAAATGCGGTATCAATTTCGTAATTAAAATGAAGTTTTTTGCCATCGCGAAAAAGTGCAACAGAAACACGCAAAAGTGTAACGCGGTGAAGAAAAAGTGCAATTGTCTGCACTTTGCACGGGAGAACATCTTTTTATTTGATCTCTCTCTCTCTCTCTCTCTCTCTCTCTCTATATATATATATATATATATATATATATATATATATATATATATATATATATAATATAAACGGGGGAACTCATGTTGGGATAGAGAGTTACATTTAAGCAATACTACTATGAACAAGTTATGTGTACACACTCTTTTGTATACATGTTTGTGAACAAGTTATTTTTTTTGTAAATGAATGTCTTATCACAAATAAAATATGTTCACATTTTTTCTTCTATTTAAGACAATTCCTTTTTTTACTTCGTATTAGGGCAAATTATATCGTGCAACCGGCGCACCATGAGGATGGTGCGTCCGGTTGCAAAATGACGGAGTATTGTGTCTGGTTTCTTTATTTTTTATTGCTTTTGTTGTTAAAAAACGGTAATAACTTTTTTATTTTTGATCCGATTTTTATAAAAATTATATCAACATTTTTTATTTTTCATGATCTTTCAAATGAGACCAATATTGCTTATGTAATTTTAAGAAATTATCGAACTATTATATTAATGAGTATTATAAGGAAAATCGAACTAAATTTAATACAGAAAAATAATTGTGTAAATCACAATTTATCTTAAAATTGTGTATATAAAAAATTTATTGTATTATGTATTTATACATGTGAGTTACATATTTTTATACGTGAAGTTACATATTTTTACACGTAAAGTTACATATTTCTACACGCGAGTTACATATATATACACACGAGTTGCATTTGACCTGACTGAACGCGAGTTACATATATTTACACGTAAAGTTACATATTTTTACACGTAAAGTTACATATTTATACACGCGAGTTACATATTTATACACACGAGTTGCATTTAACCTGTCTGAACGCGAGTTACATATTTTTACGTAAAGTTACATATTTTTACACGTAGAGTTACATATTTATACACAAGAGTTGCATTTGGCCTGACTGAACGTGAGTTACATATTTTAACACGTAAAGTTACATATTTTTACACACAAATGTTAATATGTTAAAATTACATAGGCAATATTGGTCTCATTTAAAAATCATGAAAAATAAAAAATAAAAAATTTATTAACATTTTTATGAAAAGGAAAAATAAAAAATAACAAAGCCATGTTATACGAACTGCGTATTAGTCTTTGAGAGCCACTGAGCCACTTTAATGGTCTTGATGCACTTTTTAGTCATCTGCTGTTAAAGTTGTGATTTTATGTAATAATTGTATGGTTCGATATGTTTTTATTTCCTAGCATAAACTTTTTATTTTTCATTCTTGTAATTTATGCAATTTTGTTTTAATTCATCTATATCTCCGGAAAATTTAAAATTAGTAAAATATTAATTCCATTTGCGCTACTCAACTCCAAACTTTGGAATTCATTATTTTATGAATTCTTGGGGACTTATATTGGAGATAAAACAAACTGAAAAATATATATTCTTGTTATAAAATTGATTCTCGCTAGCGGTTCTACAGAAAAGAAATTACACATTTTTGAAAGAACATGTCAAAGAAATATGAAAATCTATTAATAAGTTATTTATTGCTAAAAATTGTGTTAGCAAGGGCGTGGCTAGAGGGGAATTGTTTGGTTCCGACTAACCCCAAGTATTAATTTTATTAAGGGCAAAGTATAGAAAAAATACTTGTGATTTGTATCGTTTTCAGATAGGGGCATGCGTTTCATTTTTTCACAAAGTGAGACATGTGTTTCAATTCTGTTACCATGGCATGACGTCTAACGTCGTTAGAAAAATCAACTTTAATTTTCAAAAGTCTCCAAAAAGTTAAAAGAAAAATACAAGGTGTGCCTCGTCAAGAAAACCTCCAAAAAATTTTTCTTTTTTTGTTTCCAGCCACTTTGTCGCCAGAAACCATTGAAAATCCAAAGAGCGTGATAGTTTGTTGGTCGATCTCCTTAAAGAGATGCACTTTCCGGTATTTTTCTTTTAATTTTTTGGAGAATTTTGAAAATGAAAGTTAATTTTCTCAGACCAAACCAGATTGCATTTTGACAGTTATAAAGTACATACACTAGACATTCACAAAACTAATTGAGATCAGACAAGATCAAATAAAAAAATCCCGGTACACACTAAAAGACATATGTACACCAATATAATCAACAATTATCTACTATGAACTATCCTTGTATTTACTTCCACCATGTTGCAGTTTTCTATTCGGATTTCATTACTCGTAATCTCGTATACTTTATTTTAGGGGTACTTTGAGTTTGGATCCCATCTTATTGTCCAAATTGGACTGTGCACCCGTTTTTAAAAAACTTTGTTTTTGCACCCAACCCTGTATGAAAAGACCAAAATACCCCTCCACTTACAATTCTGTTGACCTTTAGCATATTCATGATCAAAGGGCATTTTTGTCTTTTCATATGGGGTTGGGTGCAAAAACAAAGATTTTTAAAAACGGGGTGCAAAGTCTAATTTGGACAATAAAATGGGGTGCAAACTCAAATTACTCCTTTATTTTATACTTCACACATCTGATCACTTCTAGGAGTAGTATTTTATGCTGTATTGAACTGCCTAGAGACTTGCATCAGTTACATGTGCAACTTATAAAACAACGAAGCCTTATTTGTAAGTATATAATCTTAGTTAGTTTTACTGTTTTTCATTCCCCTCGTAAGAAAAGTCCAAGGTAATTGAAAACCGTGGCGCGTTAGATTTAGCTTTCTATAGTACTGAGATCCAAACTCTATGTTGTAGCTAGCTAGGTGCATGTTGCATGTCTTCAAACCCTTACCTCTACATATAGTGAAACTGTACTAGGTAGTATATCTAGTGACCAGTTTCTCTACGTAGGTTGTTGTAAATAAATGCTTCATTTTGCCAAATTTCCTTATGAGGACTGTGGACGGTTTATCAGCTTTTGTGTTGCAGAAAATTGGATCTGTGTGATCGGTTTTGGATTTTGTTTGGACGAGAAGACGTCCGTCCTTCTTGTATTATTGACTTTACACTCTTTACTTAACAATAAAGTATGATTGAGATTGAAAGTATCTTAGTGGGATTTGTATTATTGTTTGTTTCCTGAAAAAGTAAATGAAAGATTGTTTTAGTAAGAACAAAATAAAGAAATTATGAAGATGATGGTGGTGTTTGGATAGCAGCGGATTAGTCAAACTGCCATTGTTTTAATGAAAGAAAAGGCTTGTATTTCGAGCGCATTGGCTACAAACCGCCAATAAACAAACACCGCCTATATCACAGACTTGGAAGGAGCTATACTTTAATAGTACACAGATATAAGTAACGGTAGATTTTTTTTTATAGATTTAGAGTTTGTTTTGTAATTGTGCAATTAGCAGAATCGGTTGAATTTGCTGAATTTGGTGAAATTTTGGCTGAAACATCTAAATCGGCCGAATCTGCTAAATCAAGTCAAAATATATTTTAATAATTTACTATATTTTATTAATTCAATTAAGAAAATATTATATGAAGAATAGCTAAAAAGGTTCACTACTTTAGTTTCTGTCAATTCAGCCGGAAAAATAACTTCAATTTAACTTATTTTGATTATCACACAATTCAATGCGCGATATCTAAATTAAGTATTTAGTAAAAAATTGGTTGGTAAGTTGAAAATAGGGGTTATCTAACGTGCACTTACTCTTTAACTTTTTCACAATTTGTAATTACTCTGTACGAAATTATTGATTCGGTACCGATTATTAATGTGTAATTGCGCTGCTTTTGAGACATTCTTTTTCCAAAAAAGGAAGAAAATTGGAGCAACTCGAAAAGGAAAATAGGAGAATTCTTTGGGAACAAATAGAGTATTACGTAGTGCTCCCTCCATTCCATTTTATCTGTTCTACTTTTTTTGGGTTGTCCAAAAATAAGTGTCACATTTTTTTTGAAAAGAAATATGTGATATACGGTATTTTACTTTATTGTAATCAAATCTCAACCACAACTTTTACTTTTTCAATCACAAGTTTAAGAATATTTTTTAAATAAATACTTCGTATATAAGCTGAAATTTGAAAAAAAAAACTGAAATTTGATAGCTTAACATACTGCCAAAGTTATAATTTGATAATTTGTTTGTTATCCATAATTTACATGCCTTAATCTATACTATATGAAAAAAGTAATGTTTTATTTGAAGAGACAGTGCTAATTCTGGTTTTTCGTTAGCATTTATGAACCCATTTCCTGTTTGTGTCGAATATATGATATAAACAATCATCCAAATTAGTAATGATGTTTTCAGCTGAATTGAATATTATTCCACAGAAGCAAAGTTAAAAAGAAGGGGCAGGCGCGAATGAAACAACCCCGATTTGCATTCATGACCAAAAGCGAAGTTGATCACCTGGAAGATGGTTACAGGTGGAGGAAATATGGGCAGAAAGCTGTTAAAAACAGCCCCTTTCCCAGGTCTGGTTTAGTTTTTTCCTCAACAATCTTCAATGAAGTTCCCTTCAATTACTCTGCTTAACACCAACATAATAAACCTTGCCCAGATTCATAGTGACTCTGGTTAAGTGTTTGGTCACTTAATATGTGATGCATACGAGGTGTTCGATGGTTTGTGTGCAGAAGTTATTACCGCTGTACGAACACCAAATGCACAGTGAAGAAGAGAGTGGAGCGGTCCTCGGAGGATCCGACGATTGTGATCACAACGTACGAAGGGCAACACTGTCACCACACTGTTGGGTTCCCAAGGGGTGGATTTATGGGTGAGGCGGGCGGGTACATGGGTCCTTCATCGTACCCGTTCGCCTCACAATTGTACCTTCCACCGAGGATCCACTTTCCTCGAGAAGAGATGGGGTCTCTTCTGGGTATGGGTATCCCTTACTTGCGTCATAAACAGAGTGGTGGTGATGGTGATGGTGGTAATAATGGAGCCGCGAATGTGTTATTGGCTTATCCGCCACAACTTCCGCCGGATGAAGGATTGCTTGGGGACATGGTGCCCCCTGGGATCCGAAACAAGTTATCCTAATATCAAGGTACGGTAACGTGCATATATACTCCATCAACTATAGCAATTATACTGAGCAACACTTTCATAAAAAAAAAGGATGACATCTCATCCCTTAGAGTCCCCAACCCCGACCGGACGGTACGTTGGGAGGATGTAAGTTGAACTATAATCCCAATCTGACAGATAGAGAGTGAGGCTCTGTCCCCAGTACTTGCAGAGGCCCTATGCATTTTTTAGCATAGTAACCCCTCATCGTAGTTGCCGGGATTCGAACCCGGGACCTAACCCTTGTGGCACTCCCTTCCTACCAGTTGAGCTACGCCCACCGGTATGAGCAACACTTTCATACTGACGTTCAACGTGCGACTCTATCAATATATTTAATTCGATATTAGTGAAAAATATAGGAAAATTCTGATTTTGAAAATGTAATACTACGTATGAGACTAACCCAAAAAGTATTTTTGAAATTGTAATTTTCCATATACTCCCTCAGTTCCTATTATAACTTTCAACTTCTTTTTTTCATCCGTTCCAATTAAAATTTCCACTTTTTCTTTTTAGTAAAGAATAAAGAATTTGTGGTTCATAACTTTTCTTAAACATTTCTCTCTCCTCTGCATAATTCTCCACCACACAATACCCACTATCTTAAATTGTGTGCCAAAACTATTTGGAAGTTATAATAGGAACGAAGGTAGTATATAAATCAAACGTAGTCAAAGTGGAGCGTGTAAGTTCAATAAAATATGTTGCATTTATTTAAAAGCAGAAGTAGTACTCCGTACATAATTATATGGGCCATGCTTGGTGGACACAAGATGTACACAAAATGTGTACATTGCCTGTGTACACAGGCAAATGGGTATCAAATTCTGCCCTTTTCTAAATGAATTACCTATGTACACATGCAACTAGGATCGTTTTGTGTACAGTTTGTGTACAACTCATGTACACTAAGCATTTTCCTGATTATATATGTAGTATTTTGAGAAGAGTATTGCATTCAAAAGTATTGAATAAGTAAACATTTTAGACCACACATTCACACACATATATGTAGGGTGATAAGTGGTGTATAATTTTTCCATTTTTTAGAGTGGGAGAATCCTCACCCTCTATCACCACATCCGATCCCTTGAAAGGTCAAAATTCCACTCGTACTCTTGGATAGAGACCCTTGTGGAGTTGTGGATAATAGACATATCAACTTGTCTCTTTAGTAGCCTGTCCTCCTGTGAATAAGAATAAGTTTTTTATGGTACCTGTTTAAAGGACTCTTCTACCATTGGTGTATATTCAATTGACTTTTTACTCGTAGCAAAAAAGGAACAGGTACAAGGATGTTCTCTAAATGTCTGGATTTTTACATAAAAAGTTTATGGGGGACCTTGGATGTTGGATGTCACAATAATCACATTTTAGCGTGCCTTTATGTACACACAAATAGCAATTAGTATATCACTTACATATGGTGATATAGTAATACACACAAATAACTACTCCGAACTTTAAAAAAAAACGTACTATGTACTTTAGATTTCTTGGAATTGTCATTAAAGTTTACATGTTTATCACTATTGTGGAGATAATAATATCAGAAGTTATAAATATTAAACAAAGTTTATGTATTAATCCCCATTATCAATCTAATTAAAGAAAACCCATACATTCTAAGTGTTAAAGTTTTTATGTCCACATTTAGAGATATAGTTTTTCATTGGGAAGTTGCTCCTTAGCACGTGTAACCAGTGTAGTCATGATTTAATTTAGAGAAAATTCACTGCAACATTGAAAAAGTGCACATATAAGACGATCATTGTTTTCTCCCTAAATAGAACTTATTCACTCATAATAGGGGAAATTTATACTTTTAATAGGATCAAATATGTCCTAATTTGGAAATAAAATACATATAGTCCTATTTGTGCACTCTGTCTAAGTTTTAGTCCCGACTTCTCTATTTCTCTAATTTTATGGGGAGGGGAAAGTTTAATTTTTGGTGGACCACACAAGCTTTAATCACTTAGAGAAAAAAGTGTAGTTGAGGTTTCCAACGCAAATCGGAAAGAAAAATACGTTAGGGCATCCCCATCCATAAATTATTTTTAGGATCATTTTGATGATGTGGATGATTTTTTTTTGGGATCATGGATGAGAAGTTGAGATTATTTTATGAGATTATTTGATAAAATAATCTGGTATCAAATTCTAAAGCTGGATTATTTTGAGATTATTCACAACTTTTAGGCTCCTCTTCCCATTTTCTAGGCAACTAATAATAACTAGCTTTGTAAAAAAATCTAGGTAAGTTAAGATCATGGATGAGGAGAAATTGATAGGTTTGGATATTATTTGAGATTATCTTATGTGGAAGTGACGTGACAATAAGAAGTCATAAAAAATCATAAACTTGAGTATCATGAATGGAGATGCTCTTAGCCTTTAAACTTTGAGTATTTTTCATCACTGACCCCTCAATCATTATGGATCTATTACATAAATCAAGCATACTTTTCATTCCCTCTATAATAACAATCTGTTCTTTGTAATCATTGATATATTATGCATATGTATGATCGACTTTAGGGGTGTTTAGAGTTGATTTTGCTTCTGCTTAAAAAAAAAACAGAAGCACAACCGAAACCGGTTTTTCCCAAGCTCGTCTCCATCAACTTCTAAAAAACTGCTATTAGGAGTAATTTGGAACGCCCAGAATTACTTCTTCAGTTTAACTCAAATACTCTATTATTCACTTCTACTCCCTGAAGCAGAATCAATTTCGAGAAGCAGATCCAAACACCCCTTAAGGCCTTAACCTTATTGTTTAACATGCCTTCTTATAAGGACATGCATTTTTAGTTGTTAAGTGTCACACAAGACCTGAGGTAAAGTTTCTAGTGAGGCCTTAGTGTAGAGAAAATAATATAAAAGTTTAGAAATTTATATATCTTGAGGTGAAATAGATATCTTTTACATCTCTGTCTATTAATATCAAAGTCTATGGGGGGGGGACTGAGGCTATTTCTCATTTGCTTCCTCGGGCCTTCACACAATGGTACATGGTTAAACATCTCTATTGTAAAATGTTAACAACCCCATAAGGCCATATGTCCCCAAGCTTGGTATATGTATGTGAGTATGTCGTTTTTGCAATTTATAAACATGGCCAGGATGTGTTTTTTCTTCTTTCAAAAGTTAAGGTAAAAAGCGTGTGCCTATCACTTGAATGCACATCCTAAATAGAATACTAAAGGGACACAAGTTAATTCTCAGTATCTTTTGATAACTTGTGCAGATAAAGTGCTAGGATATTGTACTAATAACAATGTAAAGCTCATGCTAAGAAGCTGGTATGCAGATCATAATCCGGGCTCAGTCGACTTCATTTTGTTTGGTAAATAGCTAGGCATGCCCCAAGCCCCTTGTGTTGGGTTTTAACACCAGTAGTTGGCCTATTCCCCAGCCAGCCAGCACGATTCACATACCGGAATGAAAGTCGAGAATCTTGTGTCGATAATTACCAGTTTGCATCTGATCATTTGTCCACGCATATAGCATAGCTTAGGAGTTGATTCCTAATTGTGATAAACTTACCAATCTGACCGCAATTGTGATGTAAATATGTAGTTCTAATCAAGTCTGGGTTGTTATTTGCCTCATACATGAATCCCAGTTAGTATTAGTTTACTATTACTACCTTAGTATTGATGATTGATCTTCTTCTTATTACTCAATTAGAATCATACAATATAAATTTTCTAATAAGCGTGTCAAGTAAAATCAAGAAAATAATTTTGATCGTATCTCAATGCATATTTTAAAGATAAGAATATAAAATTTTGGAAATTTTGGTATATCATTGAGTTGGTGAAAAGAAAGTCACATAGTTGCTATGTTCGCTTTAGCCTTATTTTGTAAAATGCATGTCTACATCTTAGAAATGTTGTGAATTGTGAACCACAGGTTATCATGTCCTCATACAAAGAATCTCTAAGTAATGCGCTTCATATGGAAAAACTTAAATGGAACACACCAACATGTTCATTATGGAGTACATTAGCGTGATGATTGACGATGATTCTCTGAACATTTTGGATGAATGAATCTTGACAATTCATCATGCCAACGTGCTTACTAGATATAATTAAATATAACACAGAGTATAAAACAACTTAGTCAGATGGAATATAAAATGGGATACAAAAAGGGACACAAGGGTTATCACATATTGCGGTAAAATTTTCATAAAGAGGGCATATAAAAATATTCACAATGAAAAACATAATTTTATGGTGAGCATATACGATTACTCTCATAATGAAATTCACTTCCAATTTTAAGCAACATAAAATTACAATGTAAAATACTACATATAAAGTAAAAAATATAGAGTACACACAGAAGCCAAGAACAATAACAAAGTACAATATAAAAGACATAATTTTACACTCTTTACACCAACTATAATTTACATTCTTCATAGTTCATATAAAAGACCGGTAGATTTATGGAGAATCATATTACTCATTTATTTAGTGATATTAAAAAGTAAATGGTAATGGTGGTGTCACAATATCTGATAAAGTTTCATAACAGAGTCATATAGATTGGTTTTAATTTCTTCTACAAAAAACTAACATTGACATTGCCATTTCATCTCTTTGCTTTGATAGAAGTGAGGAAGAAATGGGCAAAGGATATTATTAATCAATATAAGATTTTGATTGTTTTAGACATTTGTGTGCAGTTGTGGGTCGGGGTCGGGGTCGGGGCCGGGGCCGGGGAATGTAGCCCTCGTTAGAGGGTGGTTGAAGTAGTTTCGAACATGGATTGTGACGGGACATGGCAGTAGTTCGGATTACAGTAACACTACCAAAGGTGAGAGGCTATATATGATGCTCAAAGGGGTGCAACTGTGGGGCAGAGGGGGGGGGGGGGGGAGGGGGGGGGGGGAGAGTGCAGATGAAGGGGGTTGCGGTGTGATAGAGGGATGAGAGAGGGGATTGATATGCACTAATTAGTAGTGCATAAGTGTTTGTTTTTATGTTTGATTTGTGTGGATTGTTTACCGTTTTATTTAGTTTGTAAACATATGTGTGATTTTAGTTGTAATTGTATTTGAACCTTCATTTGTAAGTTGTAAAGTAGAATTAGGAATTATGGTGTTGAAAAGGAGGACTTTGAAGTGAAGAAAAATGGATTTTGACTGTCCAGGAGCAAATACCCGACCGGGTAGAAGACTTCACCCGATCGTGTCTGATTTAACAACCGAAAGTGCCTGGAAAATCATTGGACCTGGTCGGGTCCCCTATGCCACCCGGTCGGGACTGACTTGACCCGAGACATTTTAACGTGCTGAAACACAAGAACGTGAAAGATTATCTGATTTTGACATGCACCGAGTTGGGTGAGCACTTGACCCGGTCGGGTACCCGGCCCAAGGTGTTGAAAAACACCTATAAATAGCACACTTTTCCTTCACTATTTTCCATCCCTTCTTCCATACTCTTAAGCTCAGTTTAGAATAATATTTCTTTATATTTTTCTAGCTATGTTTAGTCTCCAAATGAGGAGCTAAACTTCCATTCTTATTGTTGCTCTTGAAGCTTGTTGATTATTAAAGTTGTGAGTTATTTTCTTAACTTCTTTCCATGAAAATTAATTCTTCCTTTAAATACTATTTCTATATCAATGTTGGGGAGTGTTACTAAGATGACAATTAGTTAACATCTTGACATTAGTTATAGTAATAGTTATTTCTTCCTCTATGTTAATATTGGGGAGTGTTACTAAGATGACAATTAGTTAACATCTTGATATTAACTATAGTAAGATTCATCTTCTTTAATATTCTTCCTTGGGTAGTAATTAATTCCTATTCATATTTCATATTAATATTTTGAACATTACTTAAAGGATCAACTAGTTTTGTTTCATATATTAATTATTACTAGAATCGATCGACGAATACGTTTGTTAATCATTGATGGTTTCACAAGTAAGTAACTTCGTTTTATTAATGCACGGTCGTGGTTAATAAATTTAAGATGGATTAATTTTGTTGGTTAAACCAAAACCGTTGTGTTGAGGTTATCAATCTCAATTAATTTCATCAAGGAGTTAGGAGATTAAATGCTACTATCAAGTCGGTATATGGCGGTGTTCTATACTTGACTAATAGTAAGTGTTATTAATGAACGGTCGTTGTTAATAACTACCCTCGATGAATTGGATTTACTCCTCGATTGAGTATTCGAGAGGGAATAAGTTATAGATATAATAATGATCGACTAAAATATATCAACATGTGGAAAGTAGCAATGCCAAGTCCCTTTTATCTTTGAATTAAATCTCATATAAGTCGTTCATCTTAGTTTTTAATTAAATTAAGTCATTAAACACCAAAACCCCCTTTTATTTACTAAGTTCATAAAAAGAAAAGTATTCGTTTCCCTGTGGATACGAACTCTACGTATAAGTGTTAGTATTGAATATTATTTTGACGCACTACGACAAAGTGCACGTCAAATTTGGCGCCATTGTCGGGGAAAGGCAATTAATTTTTCTTTTTATTTTATTTTAACAAAAAGAAGAATAAAAAATATTGTTCAAGTATAAAGATTTCTATTTCTTCTGAACTTGGTAGTATATGGTTAAATATCGTTCACTGAATGAAATCACTTACCAAATAAACCCCAAAATAGAACAAACTCTCGAGCGGTTGAAAAATAAATTCTCAAGCTCCGACTCGGGAGAATCATCAAGTGTTAGTTCTCATTCTAGCAAAACCGAAGAGCCAATAACTATGGCTCAAGAGACGAGAACATTGAGGGAGCTCACGGCTCCGAATCTTAATCAACAACCCCTATGTATCACTTTTCCAACTCTTGATACGGGGTCACATTCGAGCTTAAATCTGGGCTCATTCATCTACTTCCATCTGTCCACGGACTAAGAGAGGAGGATCCAAATAAACATCTTTCGGAGTTCCACTTTGTTTGCACAAGCATGTGCCCGAATGGTGTGATCGAGGAGCAAATAAAGTTGAGGGCTTTTCCATTCTCCTTTAAAGATACCGCCAAAGATTGGTTATTCTATCTTCCTTCGGGAAGCATAAATACTTGGGCGTCCATGAAGAAGTGTTTCCTCGAAAGGTATTATCCCGCCTCAGTCTCCTCATCTCTAAAGAAACAAATCAGCAATGTGGAGAAAAAAGATGATGAATCGTTCTACGACTTTTGGGAACGATTCAAGAAACTTTGTTCAAGCTGTCTATACCATGGCTATTCGGAGCAAGACCTTATCCTATACTTTTATGATGGTCTTTACGATGATAGGCGGATGATTAATGCCGCATGTGGAGGAGGAATCGTCAACAAAATACCTTCTCAAGTTATGAATCTTATCTCGGAGCTGGCCGAGAATTGTAGACGCTATAATCGGCGGTAATCAAAGCGAGTTATGGCGGCGGAATCCAACACCTCGTTGGAAAGTCAAGTGGCCGGCTTGACTTCTTTGGTAAAAGATTTTCTCTTAAATCCGAAAACCCAAGAAGTCAAGGTCTGCGACATATGCTCGACACAAGGACATCCCACAGATTCTTGCCCAACACTTCAAGAGGAGAATCCTAAGCAAGTCAATGCGTTGGGGTTCCAAGGTCAAAAGAGATACGATCCTCAAGGCAATACTTACAACTCGGGATGGAGGGATCATCCAAATTTAAGGTACGGAAATTCTCAACAACCTCAACAAACAAACCATCCTCAACAATATAAACAACAAGGCCAAACATCGAACTCGAGTATGTCCACCGAAGACATGATTCGAGCACTTGCCGTTAATATGGCAACAAGCAGCAAAACATGGGGCAATTCCAACAAACCATGATGCAATTATAACATGAAACCAAGTCGAGCATTCAAAATTTGGAAACTCAAGTTAGCCAAATTTCAAATGCCGTAAGTTGACTCGAGGCAAAAGATTCGGGTAGGCTCCCTTCCCAAACTGAGCAAAACACAAGACAACATGTCAATGCAATCATGTTGAGGAGCGGTAAAGAATTGCAAGCACGGGAAGTTGAGGAAGAAAAGCAAGAGGTTGATCTTAGAGAAGGCTTTCAATCGGAAGAGGAGGAACCAACGAAAACTAAATTCCCTCCACTTTCATCATATGAACCACTCCCTCCATTCCCTGAGGCATTGAAAGATACAAGGAAGTTGAAGAATGATCGGGACATCTACGAGACCATCGCCGATTATGAGGTAAATATCCCACTCTTTAAATTAATTAAAAGTGTTCCCCGTTATGCAAAATTTTTAAAGAATTATGCACTATAAAAAGGGAAAACAAATTAAAGGGGAAACACAGAGTTGAGGTTAGTGAACGTGTCTCGGACATTTTTCAAAAGAAACTTCCTAAGAAATGCAGCGACCCAGACATATTCACTATTCCTTGCAAAATAGAGGACACCATATTTTATAAGGTCTTGTTGGATTTAGAAGCATCAATAAATGTCATTCCTTATTCCTTGTATAAATCCTTACAACTCGGCCCACTACATCAAACTGATGTAGTGATTCAACTAGCGGATCGGTCTAATACTTACCCGAAGGGTGTAGTAGAAGATGTGCTAGTAGAAGTAGAAAATTTGATTTTCCCTGATGATTTTTATGTTCTGGAAATGGGAGATGATAACCAAACTACACCCATTCTTTTGGAAGACCCTTCTTAAAAACCGCTAAAATAAAAATTGATGTGTCTAGTGGTTCATTAACAATAGAATTTGATGATCAAAAAGTAGAATTCAACATCTTTGATTCTACCGAAAAACAAATTAAAGATAAATATCTTTGTTCTTTAAATGTTTTTGAACCACCACCAATACTAAATATTTTTGTTGGAGAGGAAACTAAAAAATTTTCAATTTTTAATGAAATAAAAATTGAGCCAAAAAAATCTATTTTGAAAGGAGAAGAACTTAAAAAGTCGCCTCAGTGCGAGTTAAAACCACCAACACTTGAGGTGGTGACAAAGAAGAAAATTCGGCCTTACTGCAAAAGGTCAAAGAAGAAAGCTGAAATATGGCCAAACATGGCCTTTGAAAATGAAACAAGGGGTGCTCACGATCCCACTTAAAACAGAAAATAAAATAAAAATAACGTCTTGCCGCGACATTAAATCAAGTGCTTCTTGGGAGGCAACCCAAGTTTGTATTTAGATCATTTTCATTTTGTGTGTGAGAAAACCCTTTAAAAAAATGACCTGGAAATTGAACCCGGTCGGGTATGAAACCCAACCCGGTCGGGTCCCATCATAAAACACATCACCCGGCCCACTCACCCGGGCGAGGAAGTTGTGGAACAGAGGAAAAATCAAAACACCCGACCGGGTCTACTACACCACCCGGCCGGGCGTTTTGCCTCGGAAACCCCCTGGAACGAAAACCCATTCGGGTATCTAACAAACCCGTCCGGGTAAGAGTTCAAAATTTTTTAAAATGAAGAACACCCGACCGGGTCACGTACCCACCAGGCTGGGTCATCGGGTTTTGACAACAAAAGAGGCCGGGCAACCACCTTCTTCCCCATTTCCCCTCTCCCCCATACAAACCACAACTCTCAAAACCTCAATTTTCGCACCTCAAACCTACAACTCCTCCCCATTTCTCCACCAAATCCATCACTTAAACACATTTTCTTCATCTCCTCAACACCCTCTTCCATTTTCTACCCAAAAATCCTACCCAAATCCATCCCCAAAAGAAATCCGAAAACCCTAAACCCCTATACCCCAAAATTCCGATTCCCCCCCTAAAAATCACAAGAAATCCCAACTTCTTCTCCTAATAATCATCCTCTCCACTCTCACAACCCCAAAATACCCAAAACCCACCAAAAATCCAAAGTTCAAAACCCCACCCTACCCAAGTTTGAAAATACCAAGAAAAATTCTCAAAAAAATTCTACTTTCATGGCTCCTAAAAAGTTCAAATAATCTTCTTTAAGGGGTAACCAAGCTATTGCGCTCGTTCCCGGTTTTGAGAGTGTGCAATTTGACACTGAGGTCCATAAAAAGTGCTTCATAGGACAAATCAAATGGGAGGTAAAACAATCCCGTTTCATATGCATTACTACACTAGTGTCATTCATGCTTGATGTGATTATGTGTGAGATTTTCACAAACGTTGGGATGCTTAGGATATTTGAGATGCAATATGTTACCTACCCACATTTGGTGTATGAATTCTTTAGTTCATTTAAGCAAATAGCAAATGTTGATGATCATGCTGAAAATAGAATCACATTTCGTTTGTTGAATGAGAACCGTTCATTGACCAAGCGAGAGTTTGCCCAACACTTTGGCCTCCCCTTGTTCAATGAAGAACGTGAACATAACACTTTTGTGGGTGTGGAATTGTGGCAAAGGATGACAGGTCAGGTGGATGTGGAGCTCAGACACCTTAGTGTGAATCGTGTACAACATCCGGTCTTCCGAATTTTCTTAAAATCTTATCAAACTGTTTTCTCGGAAGACCGAATAACCATCACACAAGGGTATGGGATATTTGTATTCTTGGACAAGCTGTTTTACCCAGGTCCGGATCAAGTGGATGTTGCCTCCATCCTATGGGATCACTTCAACACAGTGGCAACTTCCACAAGAACAATTAGGTTAGGGGGCTTGATTACACATTTAGCTACACTCTATGGCTTTGTAGACCCAGACCCCATTACCTCAGCACAACTAGTTTGCACATCATGGCTCCTGAAAAATACCAAATATATTATTTTTTCTCATAAAACACCCGATGGGGTAGATATCTATAATTGGTTAATCGATCCACCTAATGCCATTTATGCACAAATACCCTCACCCGACCTCCCCTTGGACCTTTTGAATAACTAAAATGGTGATGGGCACCACTATTGTCTCCCCGGGAGAATACCACTCCATTACCAACAAGAACAACCCCAACAAGAACAACCTGCATACGAACCACCACCCCTCATTCCTGAACAACCTCAACCACAACCCAATGCTCACCAATATTCACCATTTGAGCAACAAATGCTAAATAGCATGAATGCTCTAAACCTCAACTACACTCAACTTCAGGAGGAAGTTGTATTGTATAGAACTGAGCAAACGCAGAACTATGAGAGGATAGAGGAGCAAAGACAAGCGGACTGGAAGAGATACGAAGAAGATCGGCGGAGAGATCAGGAGGACCATAGGAGGACTTTTGGCCCTATCTACTCCTATGTAGCACATCAGGGTGACTTTGCATCTATGGCCACTCCTCCTCCGGCACCCTCATGGTATAACCCCACTGAATGGGGTTATTTGGCGGTTCGAGCTCTAGTGGTGGAGGCGGGGATGACGGATACGGCGGTGATCACAAGGATGAGGATACACACTTTAGGGACTACCATGGCTATGGAGGATTTTTTGATGGCGGAGATGCAGGCGGGCACTAGGCACTGTGCCATGGACTAGCAGTATGTGGGGGAGATCTTTCCGGTATGCTCACATTCATACTCTTGATTCTTGTTTATATTTTCTTAAACAAAAAAAGAAAATAAAATAAAAAATAAAAACAACTTGTTAAGTTGAAAACCCACAAAGGGCAGCTTAAGCAAAAATAAAGCAAAAATAAGAGTGAGTGTGTGAGATTTATTGAAGAAAAATGTGGGAAGCTGGGTTGAAAACCCGAAAGGGCACCTAGGCAAAATGAGAGAATGAGAGAAATTATTTCTTTTGATTTTGCAGGATCCTAAGGATGATGACTAAAGAGAGTTCATTGCATGAGGAAATTGGAATTGAAGATCCTTTGATGTATTCTTTTTATGTTGGGGATACATTGTGATTACTTGGTTCTAAAAACACTTTGTGATGGTTGTGTTGATGATCTTATCATTTGAGGATTTCTTGGATTGCATTTACTCGAGACGAGTAAAGATTCAAGTGTGGGGATGTTTGATATGCACTAATTAGTAGTGCATAAATGTTTGTTTTTATGTTTGATTTGTGTGGATTGTTTACCGTTTTATTTAGTTTGTAAAAATTTGTGTGATTTTTGTAATTGTATTTTAACCTTCATTTGTAAGTTGTAAAGTAGAATTAGGAATTATGGTGTTGAAAAGGAGGACTTTGAAGTGAAGAAAAAAGGATTTTGACTGTCCAGGAACAAATACCCGACCGGGTAGAAGACTTCACCCGGTCGGGTCTGATTTAACAACCGAAAGTGCATGGAAAATCATTGGACCCGGTCGGTTCCCCTATGCCACCCGGTCGGGTCTGACTTGACCCGGGACATTTTAACGTGTTGAACCACAAGGACGTGGAAAATTTTCTGATTTTGGCATGCATCCGGTCGGGTGAGCATTTGACTCGGTGGGGTCCCGGTCCAAGGTGTTGAAAAACACCTATAAATAGCACACTTTTTCTTCACTATTTTCCATCCCTTCTTCTATACTCTTAAAATCAGTTTAGAATAACATTTCTTTGTATTTTTCTAGCTATGTTTAGTCTCCAAATGAGGAGCTAAACTTCCATTCTTGGTGTTGCTCTTGAAGATTGTTGATTATTAAAGTTGTGAGTTATTTTCTTAACTTCTTTCCTTGAATATTAATTCTTCCTTTAAATACTATTTCTATATCAGTGTTAGGGAGTGTTACTAAGATGACAATTAGTTAACATCTTGACATTAGTTATAGTAATAGTTATTTCTTCATCTATGTTAATATTAGGGAGTGTTACTAAGATGGCAATTAGATAACATCTTAATATTAACTATAGTAGGATTCATCTTCTTTAATATTCTTCCTTGAGTATTAATTAATTCCTATTCATATTTCATATTAATATTTTGAACATTACTTAAAGGATCAACTAGTTTTGTTTCATATATTAATTATTACTAGAATCGATCGACGAATACGTTTGTTAATCGTTGATGATTTCACAAGTAAGTAACTTCGGTTTATTAATGCACGTTCGTGGTTAATAAACTTAAGAGGGATTAATTTTGTTGGTTAAACCGAAACCGTTGTGTTGATGTTATCAATCTCAATTAATTTCATCAAGTAGTTAGGAGATTAAATGCTATTGTCAAGTTGGTATATGACGATGTTCTATACTTGACTAATAGTAAGGGTTATTAATGAACGGTGGTTGTTAATAACTACCCTCGATGAATTGGATTTACTCTTCGATTGAGTATTCGAGAGGGAATAAGTTATAGATATAACAATGATCGACTAAATATATCAACAAGTGGAAAGTAGCAATGCCAAATTCCTTTTATGTTTGAATTAAATCTCATATAAGTCGTTCATCTTAGTTTTTAATTAAATTAAGTCATTAAACACCAAAATCCCCCTTTTATTTACTAAGTTCATAAAAAGAAAAGTATTCCTTTCCCTGTGGATACAAACTCTACTTCACTATACTACGTATAAGTATTGAATATTATTTTGACGCACTACGACAAAGTGCACGTCAGGGGTGCAGACGGGGTTGTGAAGGGGCAGAGGAGCTGGGGAGGAGGTTGGGCAGACTCACATGGGCCGACGACAGTAGTTCCAACAGAGTTACAATGTCACTCTCGACATAGTCACCATGACTGATGTAACTGTGGTCGGAGTGACGGAATCACTGTGGCCGGCTATTGTCATCAGCCGACAGTAGTGACTGTGTGGCTGGTTAGTGTGACACGTCATGTTCTATGATATAAAGTCACAAGAGAATAGGGGTAATTTTATAAGTGCGTCTGTTGTACACTTTAAACAGCCAACTATAAATCGACCAAAAGCCAACGGTCTACAAACATTTGCCAATCACCCCATTGAATTTTCAAAACTAAAAAATTATAAAACTGAATCACGACTTTTTCCCCAGAATCAAGTCCTCTTTGGTTCTAAGAGTATTATATTGAATTTATATATTTTGTTCACTTTTAGTACACGATTATTATTTACAGTAATTTTCCGAAATAGGATTAAATGAAAATTTAAAATGCACAAAGAGGACCAAACATTAATTTTCTACTCTTATTATCCTTAAAGGTATTAATTCATAATATAATGTTTTAATTCATAATAAATCGTAAGGAAATAAAAAATTCATAAGAAATTAATCAAAGATCAATAAAATATTTATAAAATAATTTTTTTTTGAAAAATAAAAAATTGTAAATAATTTGTAAAAATAGTGAAAGCACATAAAAAAAATATTAAAAAAATGGATAACTTTCCCACTGCCTCTACCGCCTCCCAGCACTACCACCTCCTATCGGTATAAAATGCCAAAAATGACATTGTTACTCTTTGATAATGCTAAAATTTTCACTGAAACTGTCATTAATATGACATTACTAATGCATGTTGGCATTTTTTCCGATGATCAGAGCTGGTAGTCCTGAGTGTCACAAAGGCGGAAGCAAGACCTGTATTTTTTTATTTACATTTTTTAGTTTAATTTTTTAAGTTTTTTAGTTTATATTTTTATTTTTCTATTCATTTTTATTTTTACTAGTTTTATAAAATACTTATTTTAGTCCTAAATGCTATAGGCGTATATTTGTCCAAGCATACATGATTTTTCCTATTTAGAAAATTTAAAACATGGTAATCCTATTTATGATTTTTAGACATATTTTAATCCTGTTCAGTTAATTAACTCTATTATTTATTACCAATTTGTGGTCTTTTTAGCCAAATTTCCGGTACCTTTACTACAATCTTAAGCACCAAATATATAGATGAGATCATGAGAAGGCCCCATGTGGAAAAACCAAAGACATCAAACCAAATTTTATCTTTGTACGATACTTATAGGATTAAAAAAGAAATTTTTATTCTTTTATTCACTAATTAATACCAGAAATAGTTCTAGAGTATTGACACAATACCCAACTCAGTCTTAAAGAATTTGGTCACTTTAGTTTTCATCCCTATTACCAAATTTAAACATTTAAACATTTTTTTGACTTTATTCATACCTTCTCTTTCAATTACAATTTCAAATATAAGTTCAGTCCGTTCATTATACCATCTAATATGTTATATTTGTAGCCACAGTTGTGAAGTTGGAGAGGATCAAAAGACTTGTGAATATAGATTGTGGAAAACTTTTTTTAAATCTATGGACATTTAAAAAAATCAATGGACTTTTAATTCAATGAACTTTTTTATGAATGAATTCTATTGATTATTAAATCCATGGATAAGAGGAAGCGGTCCAGTCCAGCTGGTCACCGACTCACTCTCCCTTACGGGAGGTCTCGAGTTCGAAACTCAATGGAGTGAGTTTCAGCCCTAATTAGTAATTACTCCAGGCCCCCCAGACCCCCTCCCCCAGACGCCACCTGGAGTAAAAAATAATAATTAAATTAAATCCATGGATAAGTTTATAGACTTTAAAAAAAGTCCATAGACTTTTAAATTCAGAATGCCACTGCCGATCGTCAGAATTTTCACCTAGATCACCGCTACCGATTGCTTGCCCGCCTCCATCACCGGAGCTTGCCGTCATCATCATCGGACTAATCTGCCACCAACAAAATGACTTTGATTATGCAAGGGAACTATGAGTAATTAATTATATTAATTAATGTAATCAGGGGTAGAAATGTATAAATGAAACAAATGTAATTCACCTAGCAACGCAGAGTTTTACAAGAATAAATGAAGCATAAGAATCCAGACTTATTTTTATTAAAAAGAAAGCTCAAAGTTTCAAGATTGTTCAACAATCTCAATCTATTTATGATTCATTGTTATATTACACATTTCAATGAATAAACCCATTAATCGTTACACTGATTGTTACATGTGGTACAAGCATTGGTGCAATCGAGTTTTTGTTCTTAATAATTGTTTTCTTTATATTTTTTAGCTTAATAAATTTTGTATACTTATGTACGGTTATATATTTATTAATTTGAAATTATATTTTTATGTGTTAGCGGTTTAACGATGAAAGACAATAATAGTTATTTTTTTGTAATGATTAAGTGACGACGTACCAGAATTGCACTGATATAATACTATTGATTCTTGTATCAGTTGTTCTTCTAAAAACTTCTAGGATCGACATGGGATTAACGGTTCTTCAAATGGTTTATAATTTTCTTTCAAGAATTGAACGGATCTCACTCCTACATTTTTCTTTGTAAGACGACAAATAAAATATAACTTTTTATTTTTTTAAAATTTATCTTATTTATCAGTATTAATGTTGAATCTCCTTGTTCAACATTATTTATCGTAAAATGATAAAAAAAATCAAAAATTTAATGTTCAAATCTTGCATATTGAGATCATTCTGGTACCCACATCCCGACCTGGTGGATACTAGCTCAGAACTTGTTGACCGGTTTGTGATCCCCGAGTAAATAATTAGTCAAATCTGCAACCAGATCTATGCGTACTTGTGACGAATAGAAGACAACAAAAAAGTTCATGGAAATCTTTGGTGAGAAGAGCGACAATTGCAGAGAGTTAATGTACTAAAAATGCGTTAAAAGTCCATGAGAATCCATCACTTTAGAAGTCAATAAGAATCAACTGAAGTTTGAATACGCCTAGACCTTTATAGACTTTTAAATGTCTGCATTGAATACGCATAGACTTTTGTAGACTTTTAAAAGTCCACATTGAATACACATAAGAGCATCTTCAATAAGGATGTGGGTTGTAGAGTAAATGTGACAAATCATTATATAAACAGGCTATTGAAAAGCATATGGGCTGACTTGGCCAAAGAGAATGTTAAAATGAATTCTTTCTCCAATAGAGTCGTGGATTTTGATGGTGCGCGTGATGGTATTTGTTCGCAGACTATACGAAGTCAC